ACTATACTAGTAAAATTAAAGCTTAGAAAGTTTCTCAATTACTTGGGAAATTTCCATGGACAATGCCAGAAACAATTTCACAGCAATCTAAAAATTATTTACAGCCATTCTGCATTCATTGCATCAAGAGACAGTTTTTTTTTATAATTTTAGGCAAACTTTTTACCATAAGCTACCACTCAAGAGTAAGCTCATATTCAAATAAACATGCCAAAATTATTAACAATTACAATTACAATAAGAGTGCAGGTATCTTGCCATTCAACAGAACTGAAAAAGAGAATAACTCTTATGGTTGACCTCAATCTGCAGCATTTAATATATTACAGTTGTTGTTCTTGGCTGATTCCTTTAATTGGAGCTATTTCATATTGTTTCATTGGTCTCTATTGCTATATCCTGCTTTAAGGTTATTTTTAATGAAAATCAGGCTATTCTTTTTATAAGTAAATTAACTATAATCATATACAAATGTTTGTACGCTTTATTTAATAGTATTTCATAAGTAATGTCTTTTTCAAGTGGTTTCATCCTTAGTGACAACATGGACATGTACTTTGAATGGCAGTAATATGGGAGTTCTTCCAGAATGCTTTTTGATTATCCCGACTAGCCTGCAGCCTCTAACAGCTAGGTTTGAAGCTGCTAAGCTTTTCTAGCTAATCTAATAGCTGCTGCCTAGCTGAGTTTTCTAAAATTTATAACTCTTTTCCTCCTTTGTGAATTTCAAGGTAGAACACACTGTTTTTCTCCATAAATACTTATCCCACTCAGATCTATATAAATGATCATAAATGTTGCTTATGCTATAAAAAATAAAGAGAACTTTATAGGGACTGCAGTGTGTGTGTGTGTGTGTGTGTGTGTTTGTTTGTTTATGGATGGATATATTCATCCATCCAGGAGCTCAGGGTTGCAAAACCAGCACAGGGAGACTGAATAATTGACAAGCTATGAATCCTTAATTTGAGTCATAATTGTTCCTTTAAAATATATATTAACTTGGAATTTATCTATTATGTGTCTGAAGTTAACTAATTGCAAATTTATGGTTTTATTTGCATGGGTTCAGTAGAAAGCCCTTTGAAGCTGCAATAAAGGAAATGTGTGTCCTTAGGGTTGAATCAGACCCTCCTCTAAGTTCAGTTATGAGGTAACCGCACCTGTGAGTGAACAGTGACTGCCACCAGCCTTTCACTATAAAGCAGTTTCTCCTTTCCATAGAAGAGGATTGAGGAGGAAATCTTGCTAAATACCAAAGGGGAAACAAACAAAAAAAGAACACAGGTTTGCAAAAAAAAAATTTTTAAGAGCTGTTTCGGTTATTCTACATAATCTTTATGATTTTTGGTGCACTGAATCCGAAAATGACCTCCATTTTGTCATAGGACATTATGTTTCCTGACAATTTAGGTAACTATGTTAAATAAGACAATACCGCAAAATAAATGGAAATAAACTTATAAAATTAAAGTTTTATTACAATACTGAATTTGTGTAATGGTTG